GAGAGAGGAGGAGGAGAGAGAGAGAGAGAGAGAGAGTAAGCTTGTCATGTGCAATTCTTTGATGATGGAGACCCCTTAGAGCGCATATTGTTTTTTGATGATGGAGACCCCTTAGAGTGCACATTGTCCTAGTCGATGGACATCATGGCAACCTCTAAGGGTTCGTCATTGTATTTATCCCACTTTGATGGGTTTTCTAGTATCTCGTTCAAGGGAACTCTCCTAAGAATGTCTAGTGAATCGACTTGGTCCTCTTGGTTGCCCTCTTTGGTATCAGTGGGGAAAACGAACCGGGTAGGATCTTCCTCTCATATGCCATCCTTTGTCATGAGGATAACCTTATTTCCTTGTGGGTTATAATTGACTACGAGTTTACCATTGCCACTATTGTTGTTGGGAAGAGGATTGGTGAAGACCCCCATTTTCTGGTTTGACTCGTCAACTGGCTCGTCATTTTTCTGTCGTCGAATTGTCCCTTTGTCAAAGAGGCCCTGAACGATATGCATAATTTTGTGAGTCCTGCGCATGGTTGTGCCACTTACACCACTTCGAGATATCGTTGATAGTGAAAGGTGGCTCCCTTTGTGGAGGAAGGTACACCAAGTTGTGTTCAAGGAGCTTTTCCAATAGCTTGTCAAGCAGCTCTTTATGAGGCGTGAAGGTCAGTGTCCTAACGATTTTTTCCACTGTTGTTGCTGGTTCCCCTAGGTTTATTCCTCCTCTTCTGAGATTTCTACCTCAATTGCTGGGCAATGTTCTTGGCGTTGTCATTGATGATGATCTTGTTGATTTGGCCGTTGGTGTTTCCCTCAGCCACACTTTTATTTTGGAATGGCTTGGCGCTGGCTGCGGCATTCTTGGACCTCTCAAGGAGGGCGACCCTCTCGAGCATAAAATCAAAGAACAGTGGAGGCCGGCGACTAAAGAAGTCCATGTACTCAGGAGTGGCATTTTCTACCACGTTGTTTTGTAGCCGATAATTCTCCGAGAAATATGGGTCTTGGTTTACATTTATGATAATGCCAGGCAAAGTGCCAGAACATGCCATTTGGTACTAAATTGGAAAATCCCTCATAAAATTCCAATGCCATCGGCCAAGCTATGTGAGAACATGGCCTTCAGTTGGTTTAGTATGTCACATGGAGTAGGTATTGATGATAAGTAAGCCGTTGCGTGAGACTTCGAGTCTCCTATCTCGGAAAACTTGTTTTGAAATTTGGATGGATGAACCCAGGTGGAAGGTCTTCAATACCTCCAAAGTGTTTCTTCTACGTAGTCTTTCGGCGGCAGTGCATCGTGTGTTCCCATTCCGACGAGTGTATCAATCAAAGCTTTCATGCGGTTCTGATGTTTAGATGAAGTACCGATTCCAAGTTGTTGGAAAATCACTGCGTCTAATTCCTGTTGAGAGTTGTCCTAGCGGTTCATACTTCTTAGCTAGGGGCCGCCCCATATGGAACTCAACCTATCACTTATGTGAAGGTCAGGTCTCTCAACTATGGATCTGCCTGCACCCAGGTGAGTTCGGTTATAGACTTGAGGGTAGGTCCAAGGGACAATAGAGTAAATACCTGTAGGTAGACCTTGAGCTGAGCGTATCCTAGGACTAGGTTCGGAGGAGGTGGCCAACTCCAAGTCAAACTCACCATGGATTGAAACTTGGCAATGAGATATGATCACACCACACGAAAATATTTGAAAAATTCTTCCTACGTGTTTAGGGTGAAGGTTGAGATGAGGTACCCAACTACAAAAACTAGAAATGCGGCTGAGTTCACTGGAAGCCCACATAGGTCCGAGCTTACTGCTTAAGAGAGAGCTTTGGTCCTATTGTAGTGGTGCTCAAACCGTAAGATGAGCACCACTATGGCTCATCTTACGGCTACGTGCCCTTTACGACTTTAATATCGGTTTTGGGAGCTTTCAAAATTTTGAATGGTTTCAATGGATCCTAGTCGGTGTGTGCAGTAGTTTGTAAAAGAGCACTTTGTAGTGGGCAAGGTTTCAAAAAACGATAGGTGGCCCCTAGGCGGCCTGTTTGGTGCCCAGCGTCTAGGCGAGCGTCTAGAACCTCGGGTACCCTGTGGTGTAAATTCTTTTCATTTTTTTATATATTTGCTATCCAAGTGCACATACATGCATATATTTGTGTCAAATTTTGTAATTTATTTTATTAGAAAATATCACGAGCTCACAACATATGTTTTTATATACAAACATATCACATATCTCAGGTTGAGAATAAACTTATTCAAAATTTCAAACCATACAAAACATTTAAAAGTCTAATAGGCTATTGTAAGGTCTCCAACTATCATATTCTCCATATTCTATATCGAAAAATGCCTTACGGCCCTGGGCGTTGGGTGCTCGCCTAGCCCGCTTGGGCGCCCGCCTAGGTACAACCGCCCGTGTAGAGCCGCCTGGGTTGAGGCGTGCGATTTTTTTGTGCAGGCTACCTAGGAGGGCGCCTAGACGACGAGCGGATCGGTTTTTAAAACATTGGTGGTAGGTGCAAAATAGTGCAGGAAATAGGCAATTTTTGCACCAATAATTACAAGAAATATGTGGACAACTAGGAAAATAAAGTTAAAAAAGGAGATGTGGATATCGGTAAGATCTATATCATTTTTTGAGTTCCAAATTTTATTGTAAGTGAAATTTGATTCTAGAGCCATCACGGAAATTTCTATAGCCGAAAGTGCTTTCGAGACAAAGATTCGTTGTGAGGTTTTGTTTTGTTTTCATAAAGCCTAGGCCATATAGAAACTTCATCCTTATTTGATTAGTGAGGTGAAATATGACACCAGGGTTTAAAAAGGTTGCCAGTGCGTAGCTCGATTATCATAGGTCGAGGTCAACCTGCCCGAGCTTAGAGCCATGATAATCGAGCTTCGCATTTATTAATGTCGTGGGGACAGAGGGAGAGCTCTTAATGCCTCTGCTCCTCCTCAACAGTAGTGGCGGAGCTATGAATAAAAGGGGTTATTCCGAGGCCCAACATCTGAATGAAAAACAATGAGTCCGTTGACCAAACTTTCAAGTTTTTGAATGAGAATAATTTTAAATCACGTATGCCATTGAATAGCCAAAGTACTCTCCTCAATAAAATATTAACTTTGAATCTTAATCAATTGTTTGTGATTATGATATCAACTCACCAATAGAATAAAAATGTTTATTTTTAAGTTTGAATAATGTTTCTAATTCACAATATATTGGTAATCAAAATTTGAATTTAACAAAGTTCATAGTTTTTGTTTAAATTGGCATTACCCATTTCAAATTGATTTATAATTAAAAAATCATATAGTTTAAAAAATTGATTTAATTAAAAATGGTTAAAATCGTATAAAAATCATAAATTTTAATTATTAAAACTAAAATGGGTAATCTTTTCTATTGCCCATTTGGAAATGGTATTTTTCCCAATGGGTGAGATAGAGAAATTTCACCTTGAATAAAAAGATAGTTTTAAAACTTATAACTAATTAAAGTATAGAAATAAAATTGTACTATTTTAAACCTTTTTCCGTTATGCAAACACATTACCCATAAATAAATAATTTTTCCAATTTTTTTTGTTAAAGTTTTGATATCTATCTATCTATTCAGCATATATCAAGCCATAGTTAAGAATAGGGCACATTGCATTCATTTCAATGGGATACCTAACAAAGCACATATTAGGGTAAGCAACCTATTAAACTTAAGTGGACACAATAGGAGGGTAGGCAGGTTTCTTCCCATTACAAAGGGTTAGGAGAAAAGATTTCCCAATATAAAGGAGTTACAAAGACACAGTTTAGTTATAGAGGGACTACAAATCACATTTTCAATTATCTATCCAGCGTATTGTATGTTCTAACTTGTACCAGTATTATCATGTAAAAGTCTAACAGCAACAATTATAAAAGTGAGTCGACAAAAGTGCTCTTATTAATGAGATGTTCAACTTCTAATTTTAATTAACTATACATGATTATAATACCACCTTGAAAACATAGCCTACAGAATATTATTTTTTGAGTTTTAATAATTGTGTGCCAGTTACAATATCATTATATATGAGTTTTAACCTAGTCCACAACTAGTTTTTTGTTGAAAAATTGGGCATTTATGTTATCTCAAAGTATCTGACTAATTGTTATATAATTAGAAAGGTCAAAATCACATAGAAAACTATAAGTTTACTCATTAAAATTAAATCAAATATTTTTATATTTTAGTTTTGAAAATCAATTTATTACTCAAAAGGCGAGATACATTAAAATTTGTAAATTTTCACTTATATTCAAAATAATAATTTTACTTTTAAACACCATTTTTAGTCATGAAAATTATTTTTTACAATAATATTATCTATAGCAATGAAACATTTTTTTGAATTTTTGTTATAAAAGTGATTGATTTCTTTCGACCTTTTCTTATCTCTAACTATCTATCTAAACGTAAGTAATCACAACGAAGAGTATGACACTTGGCTTCATTTAGATGACATACCAAATGAAGGAGAGAGAACAAAGTAGGTTACCGACCAAGTCTTAATGCAATCAATATTAACAAGTATTCTTAATCACAACCATAGCATGTAGTTCATCATCTTGTAACCAATGGGTTTGCCAATGATGAAGAGACATATGTCAAACTAAATGAAGTTTATCCATCACCGTCCATGATGGTGACAAATTTTCATCATCTCTTCAATTAAAGAAAAAGTTTATATAAGAGCCGAGGATCTAAA